CCAAGGGCCAAACACCATTTCGTTTTCATTTTTGCATTTTGGTTTCATGTATTGCATTTTTGGGCAAAAATAGGAAAATGCGAGGTTATAGCGGTCAATTTTCAATTCGGGTGGTACAAAGTGTGCACAAGCACACTTACTAGCACTCATTTAATATGCATGACGTGTGGCCAAGGGCTAAATGGTCTTTTGATTGCATTTAGGTCTGGTTGTTGCATATTTTGCCTTTAAAGGGGATTTTTTCCGCATTGGGGTTTAGGTAGGTCATATTTTGCATTGGCGGTATTTTAAAGCCGTTGATCATTGTAGCACAGCCTAATAGGTAAGTTACATCTGTGTGCATGATTGTTTTTGGGCAAAACCTCTTCCTTGGTGATTTGAGTACCCTTTGGACTCATTTTGCATTTTTCTTTGCAAATTTGGTTTAAAGGGCATTTTAGGTATTTCCCTTGAAAAATAAATTCTAGTCTTGACATGGTTGACCAGAAAACATGAATTTAGGAGGGTTCACTTCACAACTTTTTTTCCAAAAAAAATCCCTTAAAGACCTCAAAATCACATTTTAAGTTGGCTGGTTTGGTGCATTAGGCATCGAACGAGTGCTCGTTAGCAACGGATGAGCACTCCAACTTGGGGTAGTGGGCTCAGGCCTAACTAGGAGTGTTGCACGAATGTCAGATGAGCACTCGTCTGGAAGGATGGCTTGGACGAGCGCTCATAGCTCTTGGACAAGCACTCCAAGCCCCCTTTTTTAGGTTGACTCAGCTTTGACCCTCCGACTTCAAATAGCCATATCTCTTTCGTTTTAACTCCGAATTGATCCATTCTTGAGTCTAAAATGACTGCGTCGAAATAAGATTTCCAATGGTACCAATTACAGTTCCAGATTCCACTTGTACCTTGAGATATTTAAGTTTTAGTGAGATAGTTTTAGGATTTGGTTTCAACCGGGAGGGGATTCTTTGGGGGTTTCTCTTCCTTTGACTTCGGGACTTGATATCTTTGTCGTCCGAACTCCAAATCAAGTGATTCTTGAGTCTATCTTTGTTTATTTTTTGTTTTCTTTCCAATGGTGTGTACGGTGGCACTCATTTCAGTTTGGAATGACCATTTTGCCCTTGGTTCATTCCTTGGAGGGTTTTAAAACCTTAACTTCGGTCTTGCTTCCGCTGAGTCACGGGACTCCACGGAAGGCCATTCTTGTGTCTTAGGGATGACGTACATCTCTAAAGACTTGTTTTTGTTTTGTTTTCGCATTTTTGGATCCGCTTCATCACAAGACACATTGGGTTTGTAAAATTCAGGGTCGTCACAAGTAAGCCCAAAGAATTTTCACCAATAGCCAAACTTAATATTGGAGGCCCATGAGGATTGGAGTTGTCACTTTTTGTTGGTCCCACATTTGATCTAGGGTATACCCTGTTTAAATGTAAAAAATATGATTACAGGTTTACTACAGTGGTATACCATGGTTTCTGGTGTGCTCAGGTTATCTCAGGGATGCATAATGGCAGTATGGTCCTTTTACATATGAGAGAGCTCATTTCAAAGTAATTAAGCAAGTTACATTGTGTTACAGACCATGGTTACAGACCAAACACAGTTATATTGCTGGCGTACTGTGTATTTTTACTAAGGATATTCTAGTCATTTCACATATGTGTCTGACTATTATATATATGTATCAGCTGCTACATTGTTTTTACAGAGCTCAGAAATTCAGTTTACTTGAATACACACAAGCAGCAAAAATAATATTTTACTATATGTTGACAAGTGTCCTTCACAGGGGCATTTTGGTCTATATAAGTGTGTAATACACATGACAGATACGTGCATTGTTGTCCTATTGAGAGAATGTTGGACAATTCACATTTCTTAGGGACTAAGTTTGTATATGCAGAATTATACACATACATGTGAACTGTCATTTTTGTGACAATGTGTCCCTTTTTCATTTGTATATGCAGAATTATACACATACATGTGAACTGTCATTTTTGTGACAATGTGTCCCTTTTTCATTTTTCGGTCCTCTCTTTTTTCTTTCTTTCTTTTTTTTTTTTTTTTTTTTTTTTTTTTTTTTTTTTCAGGATAGTGGGTGATTGAAAATATTTTTTTTCGTTTATACCCTAAGCCACTCTCCTTATTACCTTAATACCTTATTTCATTTGTATGCTTACATAGTTTAAAATCACCATTAGTATAATTAAACCATTCACTATCTTTTCAATCTCATGCTCATTGATATTAAGTTCATTCCAAGCCAATAATTCTAGTAGACGATTCCTACTCGCTGTACTAATGTATAGTTGTTTAGTGGTTTTATAAATCTAAAAGTTAATGTCCCAATTGCCACTTATAAACATCTAAATTTTGATACCTTGGCTGAGTGTATCAACAAGTATATGTGAGTATAGCGAGTAGGGATCGAACATAGGGATTATTGGCACATACTTATGATGCCAAAAAAGCTTACTAAGCAATACATAGTCATATGTATATATAATCATATAGTGTACATACATGTCAAAAGTATTTATCAATCTCTATAATTTAAGTGTTATCTCTAATTAAATGGGCCTCCAATATTAAGTTGAGCTATAGGTGAGAGAATCCTTTGACCTTAATATTTTTTTGGTTCTAATGAATTAATAATTGACCTGATCCAACTACCATGGACCCAATTCAATTAATTCATAAATTAATTTCTATTCTACTAAAAGAAATTAATTGACCTCCAATCAAATAGTAAATAATCACTAAGTCAATGTTGCACTTTGACCTCTCTATGCATAATTAGCTATCGAATAATTAAAGCCATCAATATGACCGCACTATTAATATATTTATTTTGGTTCCTTGATTATTTCCCAGTTTGATCATATAAAACATTTGTTTAACAAAAAATAATAATTTAGTAAGTAAATTCATAAAAATCATTTTGTCTAAAATACACAAAGGATTTCGAATTTACTTTGTGATCAACCATAACCAAATCGAAATAAATACAAGTAACAACGATGCAAATATCGAGAATATAACTCTTTAACTATTAATTACATAATTATCTAAATTGTCGGTCATAGGATCCCGGAGGTTTCGCTAAACAAATTAAAGTAATTATTAATTAATAAAAGTGTTTGTAATTCTCTCATGCTTGAGAGTCAAATAACATGACAATGATTATGATTGAGAGCAATTGCATACAACGGCTCTTGTAATATATCCCAACCTATTGCGGATCCGGTTAAAGTCTTAATTAATTAAGAGTCTATCCTTAATTACCATCGCTATTTATATTCTTGTATTGATTGTCATTAAATACATATAAATATCTCTTGCAATCAAGTGGACATAATCAATTTTATCACGAATCGAAAGTATAATACATTATCATTCACCAAGTATATAATATATAAATATCATTTCAAATAAGAAATAATATCTATACAATCCAAGTAAAAATTTGTTATATCACAGCATACAAATCTCAACACATTAGGAGTAGGAGAAACTGTAGTATCCTTAATAACATCTAAAGGCACGGGTTTCCTTTCCTGGGACTGGCTGGAGCAGGAACAGGAGGAGGCAATTTGACTCTCACTATTTCTCAAATCAAATTCAGATATCAATGGCACTAACAATATATCCCTCCTCCTCCTCCTCCTTCTGTTTGTTTTTTTTTTTTTTTTTTTTTTTTTTTTTTTTTTCTAAATTACACCCATCTCTAATTTGTCGGAAATCAATATTAAATTATCAGAAATGAAAGTCGGGTACCACCTTAACAACCACCATGATATTTTTGGATTAATGTTTCACTTCTGTCAAATTAAAATTAAGATATAAGATTAGAAAAATTAAGACTCTTCAATATTTTTATTGTTTATATATATTTTAAATTCATTCACTGAGGTTTGAAAAAATTATACGGGTAGAACGTTTAGCCTTTATTAATTTAACCTTTCTTAAGATTTGACGAGTATGATCAACGACACCTCGCCGTTAATGAAAATTCAAAAAATTATTAAGTTGTCATTTCCTTTTATTAAAAGACCTTAATAACCTTATATTTTGATATGAAAGACAAAAATACCATGCAATGCCATTGAAATGTAAAGTCAATTTTCATACTAATATTATATTATTAAATTTTACAAAAGTGAATTTTTTTATTAATGACATTTGAGTAGGTTTCTCTTTTAGGGTTTGATGATGTTTTTTTTTTTTTTTTTTTTTCCCAAAAAAATAATAGTTAGGATAATATAATGTTTACAAGATGAAAAAAAAAAAAAAAAAAAAAAAAAAAAGAACGAAGAAAAAAAGAAGGGGTAATAGCGTCTTTGTTGTTTGATAGATTTTTTTGTTAAACTATTATTAAATTAGAGAAGGGTATAAAGATATTTTATACTTTTAGGATAAGTCAGAGTAATAAAGGCCAAACGTTTAATTCATATGTAATTTGTCCAAACTTCAAGAGAGGTCAATGTAATTTATTATAAATTCAAAATTGACACATGTCATTATTCTAATTGTATTATTAGTATTTTTGTGACAAAAAGCCCTCTCATGAAAGGGAAAAATTAACTACAATCCTAAAATCAATAGTATTATTCAAAGAAATAAAATCATATTGTTCCTGTAAATTTCACTCAAACAGACCAACAACAAGCCCCACCTTTCTCTGTCACCCTCCTTGGAGAGGACAGAGAGTGTGTCATTTTCCATTTAGAAGTTCTGTTCCGTCAAAAGCCCAAACACACATGTTATTGATCCACGTGTATATATATATATATATATATTCTCAAATACTTCATGTTTAGGCAAACCTATGCGATAGCAGCGATACCAAACAATTACAACCCCCTCTCTCTCTCAACGTACATTTCTTCTTCTTCAAAATCAAGACAAAGTCTCTTTCCCTCCAACAACTTCAAAAATAAAATACCCAGTAAAATTTGATGTATATATATAAATATATATAACCCAAATGCTAAGCAAGGTTAGGTGATCGATAGCAACACTAAACAATGTAAACATGCACCAATATCCAGACCTTCCTTTTACTAGCTGCATCTACTCTTCGTGGCTTCTTGCAATTCATTCAAAACTCAGTTCTTGTTTGAGTGATTGCCAAATGAATAGTTAGAGACCGCCACCAATTAAAGAACCAACTCGAAATATGCAGGTTCACATATCGCCAAGTTTGCGGCATGTAACAGTATTCCCATCTAAAGGTGTTAAAGAATTCATCAAAGTAAAGGTTGGCTCAAGACGAGTGTCGTGTCGCATGGTTTTGTATTCACTTCTCTTCTTTACCTTTCTTCTTCGGTTCGTCTTTGTGTTAACGGCAATGGATCATACCATTGATGAACACAGCCGGACTTGCTCTACCTTAGGTAGCTACATTTTAATCCGTCTCTCTCTCTCTTTATATATGTGTGTGTGTGTGTTGGAAATCATATCTATAAGTTGACTCGATGATTATGGCAGATTTATTGGGTTTTCATTATAGGCTAATGTTTAGGCGTTTGTTTAAAAATATGATTTTTATTCTGATTTGATTTTTATTCTCTTTCCATGTTTGTAATTTTCCTTTTGTATATAATGATAGTCAGGTTCTCAAATTGAGAACACTAATTTTACCTTTTGGTATTAGAGCCACCTATCATATAATTCAATTTGGTATCAGAGCCACTGTCGGAGATGGCGGCATAAGCCTCATCTCCGGCGGTGATCCAAGTTTCAGCCACCATGCCATCTCATGGCGTCATTTTTCAGATTTCTCTTTCGTCGTTTGTTTTTGTTGGAGCTCTGTGTTTTGGCCCAAGAGAATATTGCATGGCCCTTTTCTTGGTGTTGTTCGGATCTTTTTCATCTCTAGGATGGATCGCACCGGTGTAGGGAGGCTCTTCTCCCAAGTTAAGACCCATTTTTTGGGGATATCCCTTTAGCATTTGACATGTGCTAAGAGTCTCTAGGTGCTATTTGTGCCTTGTTTAGGTAGCATGGTGTTTGCCGTTTCCATATCTCCAACAACATTTATTGCCTTATTTGGACTGCTGGTGTGTTAGGTAGCATTGCAATCTTATTGTGGTAAGGATACAGTTGTTTTACGTCTTAATATATATGAGTTTGGTTGATATATTCCCTACAGCTTGAAGGGAAGTATTGGAAATCATATCTATAAGTTGACTCGATGATTGTGACAGATTTATTGGGTCTTCATTATAGGTTAATGTTTAGGCTTTTGTTTAGGGATTTGATTTTTATTCTCTTTTCATATTTGTAATTTTTCTCTTATATATAACGATGCTCTCAAATTGAGAACGCTAATTTTACCAATGTGTGTGATTACAATTTCTGATATCATTTTGCAACTGATCTTATGATGACAGGTTGCTTGGGGAAAAGACTAGGACCAAGGATTCTTGGCAGAAATATTGAATCAACTGTAATCAATCCCTTGATCTTAATTTCGAATTGTATTAAATAACTTGAGATCCTCTAATTAATTAATTTAATCACTTTCTTTCTGTACTAGTACTGATCATGTTTTAGCATTATTTGATTTCTGATAGGTTCCAGAAGTGATATTTGAAATCCTGGAAGAACCAATGAGCCAAGATGAAATACAATTAGGAGCAGCTGATCAGGTTCCTCAGACATTAGAAGAGTTTGTTGCTGAAATAAAAGACAGAAAACTAGGTGCAAAGACTTTTGCTCTCAAGCTTAGAGCTATGGTCACCCTCTTTGAGCAGAGGACTAGGACAGCCAAAATCCAAGAATACCTGTACCGGCACGTGGCGTCCAGCAGCATCCCGAAACAGCTCCACTGCCTTGCCCTAAACCTAGCCAATGAGCACTCCACCAACGCCAATGCCCGCCTCCAGCTCCCCTTGCCGGAACTTGTCCCCTCCCTAGTCGACAACTCCTTATTCCACTTCGTGCTCGCCTCTGACAACATCCTTGCTGCATCCGTCGTTGCATCATCACTCGTTCAGAACTCGTTGCACCCTGAAAAGGTTGTCCTTCACATAATCACAGATAAAAAGACCTACTCTCCCATGCAGGCATGGTTCTCTTTGCACCCTTTGATCCCTGCAGTCATTGAGGTAAAGGAACTGCACCATTTTGATTGGTTCACCAAGGGGAAGGTCCCTGTTTTGGAAGCCATGGAGAAAGACCAACAAGTTCGGTCAAAGTTTAGAGGCGGTTCATCGGCCATTGTTGCAAATCACACTGAAAAGCCTCATGTCATTGCAGCGAAATTGCAAGCGCTTAGCCCCAAGTACAATTCGCTGATGAATCACATTCGGATATATCTACCGGAGGTAAATCCCAAGTTCTGATCATAAGCTATTTTTTCTTATAGTTAGTCCTGATGGTGTTTTGTTTAATCACAACAGCTGCATTTGCTTTGCAGTTGTTTCCTAGTCTTAACAAGGTAGTGTTTCTGGACGATGACATTGTGGTTCAAACTGATCTTTCCCCTCTTTGGGACGTTGACATGAATGGGAAGGTCAATGGAGCTGTAGAAACGTGTAGGGGACATGACAAGTTTGTAATGTCAAAACGGTTTAAGAGCTATTTGAACTTCTCTCACCCTTTGATAAAGAACAATTTTGATCCTAATGAATGTGCATGGGCATACGGCATGAATATCTTTGATCTCGAGGCTTGGAGGAAGACTAACATAAGCCAAACATATCATTACTGGATTGAAGAGGTAAAATTCCATATTGTTATATCACATTAATCATGTGATTTTCCAGATACTTACATGACTATTGAATTCATCTGGCTAGAACTCAGAATAATTGGTAGTCTATTGCAAAATCAAAGTTGCATTCTAACAAGTATACCTGTTCCTCTCCTTACAGAACTTGAAATCCGATTTAAGTTTGTGGCAGCTAGGAACATTGCCACCGGGACTAATAGCATTCCATGATCACGTCCACATTATTGATCCGTTCTGGCACATGCTCGGACTGGGGTACCAGGGCAACACGAGCATCTCAGATGCTGAAACTGCCGCTGTCATCCATTTCAATGGCCGAGCAAAACCTTGGCTGGATGTAGTGTTCCCCCAACTTCGGCCTCTATGGACCAAGTATGTCAACTTTTCTGACAATTTCATCAAAAGCTGCCATATTAGGGAATCTTAGCGTTGATTGTGGTGAATAAATTGAGCATAATGATGATCAAGTATGAGCTTAATCATGAAAAAGCTGGAAACAGGAGAGATTTCTTCATGGATTCAAGGTCCATGATTTTGCACATGAGATGAAAACAGCACCAGACTTCAATTTTTATTGACTCCCTTGCTTGTGGTTTTGTGTTCTTAATTATTTTCTTCATTTCCTGAGTAAAGGATTTTATAGGCTTTAAACCATGAAGTTTTTATGCAAGTAACAGATAAGAGAGATTTGTGAAAAAACTTATTGTCTTATGCAACACAAGATATTCTTAATTTCACGCACCTAGCTGAGGACCATTCATCTAGAACCAGAGCCTTATCAAGTACAGAATTCAAAGAAATAGTAGAAACAAAGAGAAACGAAAACAGTAACAGGAAGGATAGTCTCACCAGTGCAATGAGCAATCTACCTTCTTCAACATCTGGTCTATAGTCCAAGATCATCTAACCGATGTTATTTAGGTGAAAGCAACAAGCATTGAATTTCTAAAACCCCTGAATAAGAACACTAAAGAGTAGAAGAAATTTGTAGTTCATCTTGGCTTTTAAGGGTGACAATAATAGGTGCTCATTGCGTACAAACAAAACTTGGCGTTCATGTACTATAGATGGTTTTCCACACCATTTGGGGGTGGTAGGCAATGAGTTTTATAGTATAAGACACATTTCAATCTTAGGGGCTCTCTACTTCACATTATCTCACCACACATTATATATGCAAAAGAAAACATAGTCCAACACAGGACTTGATGAACATAAATTAGACTGTAGTTCCTAAAACATTAGAAAAAAAAAAAGATCAAAACTTTAAACAGCACAAGTATAAGCATCCTCTGATATGCCGGTTACTTAATTAATTATGTTCAGGTTCACTAAGATATTTTTTACGCTAGATCTCCTCTTAGTTCCAAGCAGGTCTTCCTGGAAATAAATGCGACATGTTTGCTTATGTTCTTACCACCCAGTGAAACTCTCATCTGATATGCTTAACAAACATATTGCCTTCGCATTTCTCCATGTTAATTAATTAAACTCTGAAATACTAAATGCAACCACATTAAAAAATTATCAAACAAACAAACATCTTAAGAGAAGAAGTAATAACAACAACAATAATAATTGAAGAAGGAGAAGATGGAATTGTCATGAAACTAGAATAGGCTACTTCAATTTTCTCAGGACTTCAATCTGGCCTTTGAATTAACCACCCTTTCCCCTGTCAAACTCACAAAAATGGAACTACCATTTTTGAATTTTCAACGAGATATCTCTTGGTAAGATTTTAACAGGTATCACAAAGCAAACATCTAATGTGTCTAAATTCTAAAAGCATAAACAAATTAATGAATAGCTCCATGTATCCATTTGTCACAATTTTCAAGTTACCAATTGCAGTTAAAGATTAGACAGGTACGATTTTTAAGTTGAATAACCACAGCACAGATTCTCCAACTATCATTTTTCTTAGACAAATCTAACAAATGCACAGGCCACATTGTCTCAATGACAGCAGTCTGCCATTTTTATACCACTGAAGGGGACAAATCCTTCTGCTGAGAAGGATTGAAAAGGGGACCTAGCCTCTAACCTATCTCCTACTAATCTCAGCAGGGAAAAAAAAAAAAAAAAAAAAAAAAAAAAAAAAAAAAAAAAAACCACCCACTATGGTCTTCTATAAACTACTTTGGTTACCTCTTGGAAGAATGTTGTAATTCTTAAGAGTATTCACTTCATAATAATTTCACACCCTCCTTCCATTAAATGATTCCTATAGGTCTCACTTCAAACAATCTCTAAGACCATATTATACTGAGAAATAATTAAAATTTAAGAAAAAAGAAAGAATGAACAAATAGTATTAAAAAGAGTAATCAGGGAAAAAAAAAAAAAAGAGAGGTTCATTTACCATCTATAATAGGTCTACAACTTGCTAATTGTACTAGGAAAAAGCTGTTGACAGCAACTAAAACAAAGCCACAATGGTAATGCTAGATATCAAGAAGTAATGAGGAAACAGAACAATGCAGTCGGAACTGACAACATCCTTTTCCTAACAATCGAAGTACGAAAAGAGTATTGAATAATAATTATCAAGAGTTGGGAACAATTGAATTCACTAAGGCATTTCAACAAACAAATACCCCAAGTTGTAATGGCAGTATTGCACTTGAATAGAATGAATTGACAGTACTGAGGAACTTACTTTTTTCCGGTTACATTCGAAACCAAATCCTTCAAAAACTTGGCAGACTTTGTAATAGGGGAATTAATAGCCATCAAGTTATACAAAACGTTTTCAACTTCCCCAATGGATGGCCTTGCCTTGAACATGGAGATCACTTTCATTTCCCCTCCTTCTTCAACGAAAACCGTCCATCTCTCACCGCTCAAAACCCCATCTTTAACACACTTGAAGATTACTCCTTTTCTCTGATTCAAAATTCCTCTGACCTCCAATCCCATAAATGAATATACCACCTCAAATGAGGCCACAAACCCACTCAACTCACCAAAACTGCCCTCCTCTTCAAACCCCCATCCAGGGTTGAAAATCACCACTGGCTTTGGGTACAAAATGTCAGTAATTCTTTTCATAACAGCCAACTGTGAAGCCTCTGGCGCCAAAAACACTGCCACATCACCAGAATTCAACACGCTGGTGGTGGTATCACTGTTGTTGGTCAATGAAGATATGTACAAGTGTTCAAGCCGGTTTGGCAGTTGAGAAACAAAGGAATCAGCAGCAGATTCTGTCAACGAGTGGTTTGGCCATACGAGTGAGATCTTCACCGGAGAGCCTTTTCTGTTGATGGGTATGTCAGAAAAGACCGCGAAAGCGAGTTGGGAGAGCGAATCGGGCGAGTCGTCAATGAGGGGTATCTCGACTCGGAACCTGGGCTGCTTCAGTTTCTTGAGCTTACCTGTGAGTTTGGGGTTGTTGAGGGGCTTTTCTAAGGTGGTGGAGAGGCAGGTTTTGGCTTGGAGGATGGCTTCTGCTTTGGAGGTGGGTGGGGTGGGAGAGGAGATAGAAGAAGAACATTGGACAGATAGAGGAAGGAATTTGGATTTGGGTTTTGGGGAGGAGGAGGAGGAGAGATGGTATTGGTGGTGATGCTGCTGCTGTGTAGAGAATGGGAAAGATGCGAAGAGAGTAGTTTTAGCTAGTTGCAATTGGAATGAATGCTTTGAAGTTAGAGTGGTTTGTAAATGGATTTTGAGAAGATCACAATCCATTTTCTTTCAGTTCATCAAATGTAAGCAAAAGAGCTAGTAGGAGTTTAAGAAGCGAGTTCCACTTGCAACCATATGGATAAGGAGAGTAAGACAGATTGACAGCCTCACAAAACCTAAAATGGTGACACATTTGCTTTATGTGTCAATTAGTAATTACAAGAAAGAAAGAAAAAAATTAATTAAATTAAAAAATCATATAATAATTTCTCCAATTTTTTTGAACTTGGTTCTGTGTACCTTTCAAAAAAAAATAATAATAAAAATAACTTGGTTCTTTGTTGTGCTTTCCAAATCGACCATGTCTTCCGGAATCGTATTGTTGATTCTCCTAGATGTTGGTTCTAAATGGAGAATCATTAATTCACTAAAAACGGATTTGATTCATATCTTTATCTTTTTAATATTCTATAAATTTAGAGATCTGTAGGTATTTTGTTGGGGTGAAAATCACCTCAAGTCAAACAGTTTGCTATTTCTATCATTTTGAAATAAGTGAAGGAGAATTGGCCGCATCAATTAAAAATTTTGGGTAACTAAATTTTCACCACCCATGTATTTTATATATAAAAACTTTAAATATTGTATTTCATATATATAAATACATTTATATATTGTATCCAAAATACGCTTGTCTTTTTTCAAAATGTCGTCTTCTTCCTTTCTCTCTCTAAAAACTTCATTAACTTTCATTAATGGACTTGTAATGACCCGATTATTTTCCTTTCTTTCTTTTCTCAAATTTTCACGGATATGTTTTTTTCCATTGTTCTTTTCCTTTCTGAGTTCAGTTTCTCATCATTTAGTGTCATCTCAAGTGCTCAGAAATAGTTTCCGAGACTCTTTTTTTTGGATTGACAACTTCTTTTGAGGATCGAGTCATTTTCACATTCTTCGTTTTTCGACACTATTTACTTTTCGTCATTTTCCCTATTTCGTCATTTTCCTTATTTTGTCATTTTATTGCTAAACCTCACTTTTTATGTTCGGAGTTGGTTTCTGACTTCACGTATCTTTATTCTAAGTGGTTTCTACAAAATACGTATATTTACTTTTGCAGAAAGGTACTCTGGATGTTCTCGGTGTCCATAAGGGCATGGATGCATAGTTCTTCAGAATCTTTTTCTTTTCTTGTGGTGTGGGTTTTTAAGAAAATATCTTTTTGGAAGATATTTTCATTCCGGGGCAGTTTCGTAGTTTTCACTTTTTGGAGGGGCCATTGTGCAATTAATGAAAGTTATTACTAAATGCCTTGTTTTGAGCCTGGATCCTCGTACGGGATTCATTTTCACTTTTCGTCGAGTCGTGTACTCATAGAATTTCCTTCTGGTCATTTTTGTCCACTTTCAGGGTTTTTGGCCCTAGTTAGCGCCAAGTTTAGGCCATAACTCTCTGCTCGGGATTTAGTTTTTTACGTCGTTTCTTCCGTTATTCATATTTTCTCATTTTGAATCTTTTTCGTTCACGGAGTTTTTCCGTTTGAGCGCGTATGCTCAAATTCCACTCTTTCGGACCCGGCGGGTTTGAAGTCAAGATGTGATTTTGATGGGGCTTCCTTGGGATTCATGTTCGTGGTGTTGTCCCTGACAAAACCTAGAAGTTTCGTCGGATTTAGAGCACTTTCATTTTAGTGGGGATTTGAGATTTCATTTCAAATGGAGGTAGGGGATATTTTAGGATTATTTGTGTATTGTATTATGTGTTTCCCATGATTTTACAACATATATGTATGCCTTGTATCAAATCTAGAAAGTTAGTAATATTTAATTCTTTGTATAAGATTAAATTTTCATGATGATGTATAACTTGGATTTGAATTGTGGAATACTAGAAAATTTGGCTTTAATATGTTTGTTAACATATATTAAATTCGGATTATTTGAATAAGAATTACACTTTTTATTAAATAATTATCTTTTGTGAAAGTTTAATTCTCATGGGCTTATTTTAAATTAAGTTTTGGCATATTTGTTAACATAGTTTAATTTGAGAGCATTTGGTTGAGTTTGAAATTCTAGAGACTTTAATTAAAATCTATTTTATAGTTTCATTGGCCTAACTAAGCTTTTGAATGAATATATATAATGACCATGATATGTCTTTTAACATATATTATATGGAGGCCATTTGGAAATGATTTAAAATCTAGAGAGTTTAATTAATTTTATTTAATTAAACTATATCTTATTGTTCCATGGATTTAATCATGTTTTAGAAGTTGTTTCTATATTGAGATCATGGATTTAGACTTGTTGTGTATTCACTTGAGTATGTTTTAAGCATTGAAGAACATTGTTGTTAAGTTTATATTCATGAGAGTATGTTTCTAATATGAATATATTGTTGACTTGTGATTTCATAGCATTATGAATACGGAATGCTTATTGTACACTATTGGGAGTTAAATTGCTAACTTGTACTATGTAGTAGTAATATGGATTCTTGTGAATTATTGGTATCATTAGCCTTGTAAACTTCTTGCTAAAATGTCGTAGAATTAGTGTTTAAAGTTTACCATGGAGGCATGATTTAAATTGTTAAGTTGATGATATTGTTTTGTACGTTATATCATAGTAAAGATTTGACATTATATATGCCATTTTAGAATTGAAACTCTAAGGCATGGATTGTGTGGTTTCAACCAATTTGTGCATGGAAGGTGATTTCATGCATTATATAATTATGTATAAGTTGTGAACTTATTTGGTTTATTTTGGAGTTACTTGGGACATTGTTATTGTGATATGGTTAGAGTTTGTCTCTAGTGCGGGAGGTATGAGTTTTCTCCAATTGAGATAGTGCGCCCTAGGGTGGTCTTCCCAGCGGGTTAATGCCCGGAATAACCATTTTGTTCTCGGCGGAAATCCGAGACGTGATGTCCAAGTCTTCCACTATTTGTTTTCACACTTTTAGATTTCTAGTTGATAACTTTGAGAATCTATGTCTTGATGTGTGGTATTAGAATTCTAATTATACTAAATTGTTATATTTAGTTGTTTTTGTACTTTTAGATTTCAAGTTGTTAACTTTGAAAATCTATATCTAGTTGCTTTGTATAGCATGCTTCTATATTGGTTAAATTGCATAGATGTTGTGATTTTTGATTTATTGTTCAAATGTGACTTAGGAATGATCCTATAGATTCATTTGGAACATAGACGTTAGGAGGCATGACCCACTTTGGTTATTCTAGCATTTTAGATTTCAAGTTGATGAATCTATATCTTGTTGCTTTGTATAATACGATTCTATGTTACTTGAAATGCATGAATGATGTGATTTGTGCTAGAAATGATCTAGGGTAGCTTAGGATGCTCCCTGAGTCACACTTTAACATAGACGTTAGGTGGCATGAGCCCTTTTAACATGTTTCACCTTAGGGTGATAAAATTGTAAAATGTTAGGTCGATGCATGCTCATTTCCTATGAGTAGCTTTATGTTGCTCACCCCAAAGTTACTGGGGCATATTTTAGGTACATGATTCAAGATATGGTGATTGGCATTTACCTTTGATGGTTTGGAGATTTGAAGTTTCTTTCAAAGCATTCTTGTTCACATGCAAGTGTTAGCATGTTCAAGTTTTACTTTTGATGTTGTAACACTTAGATAGGTTCAATATGCCATTTTTGCCTTATTGTATGTAAAGTGTACTTATATATGTTATTTGGAACCTATTTGATATGTATGATATGGGGCCAAGGGCCACAAACTTTAAGATTCAAGTGTATGCATTTAAGTTTCAAGTTTTGTTTTGAAATGTATTCTTTTCTAACCTTGAGGTTTGGCATGTCAAATTTTCTAAACATTGTGTAATGAGACCATGGGCCATTGTAACATATTTATATTTATAAAGTACACTTGCGAGCATAATTATATAGCTTAAAATCATTTTTTTGGTCCATATTCATGTTGGGGTTTGAGGCTTGGGTGAAGCCTCAACAAAATTTGTTCATAGCAGGCTTTACAACAGCTTCTCAAGGTGTTTCGGTCGTCCAAAACTTCATTTCGGTCGACCGATAGCCTTTAAAATTCATTTGAGCATCAAAACATCACTTTTCAGTAGCCAAATGTACTGTTCAGAGCCATTTCGGTCGACCGATGGTTCATTTCGGTCTACCGATACAACCAACCTTCAAAATAATGATTTCAGCAAGAATTTTGTCCATTTCAGTCGTTCGATGGTTCATTTTGGTGACCGAAATAACTAGAACCCGATAACAGCTCTGTTGAGTTTCAACACTGATCTTCCAACTTCAAAGGGTCATAACTCCTTCGTTTTAAGTCCAAATGGGTTATTCTTGAGCCTAAATTCATGGATTTTGAGTCAGATTTTCAATGGTACCAATTCCATTCTTAGATTCTAAACAAAATGAGAGATATTCATGTTTTAGTGAAATAGTGTCAATTTTCACTTCAACCGGAAAGGGGCACTTTGTGGGATTCTTGTCCAATGTTCTTAGAACCTCTTGGAATGTTGTGAAATGATTATTTTGAGTTATTTTCACCTTGTTTGACTTATTTAGAGTCAAGTTTCTCTTTTTTATTGTGATTTGACCATTTTGCCCCTTGGTTCACGATTTTTGCCCGTTTTGACCCTTGTTTTCGCTTTCATTCTCCTTGAGCTTCGTGACTTCATGGAAGGTCACATTGGTGTCTTAGAGATGGTTTATATCTCTAAAGACTTTAGTTTCATCTTTTGCTTCTGCATTTCGGATCCGTTATTGGATCAACTTTCGGTTTATCACTGACGCACCGGGTTGAAAAACTTAGGCCGTCACAGGACTTTCCAAGGATTCACAATAACTTTAGAACTTCGAAGCTTCACTTCAAAACACAAACACACTCAAAAAACCTATGTAATTTCACTAAAGTATTATGCAGAAACTCCAGAGTATCATCCATATATCTAAGCTTTATTCATGTAAATATCGATTTTTGGTCTATTTTTTCTTATCTGATTAAAGAGTACAAACATCACTGGTTCGCACTTTTTTTAGTAGAATTTTGAACTTCAAAGCTTCACTTCAAAACCCAAACACACTCCAAAAACCCATGTAATTTCACTAGAGTAT